CAAAGTGCCCTCAATGTATTAGCTTAATTCCAGTATACAAAAAGTAAATCCGAATCGGCATTAAAAAAAAAAAAAAAAACAAAAAAACATATATATAAAATAAATGGTATATACGTACTGTATGAGATAGTAATGTATTAAATCACATGTTTGCTTGATTGAATTAATCGATAATGAGCAAAAGTCGAGGATCCGGATGATTTTTGATCGCAGATGGTAGATTGAAAAATAGTTCATCTCGTTTGGATATTACCGTTGGTGGGGCGCTCGAGTTGTTTAATTCGAAATTAAAAATTTAACATTTTCATATTTACTAACGCAAAATGAAATCAATCATTATTTGCCCCATTTCACATTTGTGTGGTCGCACAAAATTAAGGGATGTCTTGATTGGGCAAGCACGATATAGGATGACAGGAGCAATTCTTTGTAAGAAGGCACACGCACATTAAATTTATGTTGACATCATTATTATTGATATAATCATTTCGGTCGGAGAGCGTTCTCGGATTTTACATTTGCAAGTTCAGACATATTTCCATTTATCGAAGTTGTGGTAATGCTGAAGACCAATAAACAAATGTTCCTATCCAAATCTCCGCAATTTGTGTCATTATTGTCGTACAGTGCCCGTTTAGGCAATATAAACTTATGCATGCTCAGTAAGCGTAAGATTCTAACTTAACCTTTCACACCCGTTGACGGGTTAATCGCTGTCTTTTTCAACCTCCACACCCTCAACAAAAAGGGAACTTGTATAAACTGCATACACAATGGACGTTGCCATCACTCACTACGAGGCTCTGAAGAGTTTTCTTGCTTCACATCTAGCTAAGGGTAGGTTATAGATTTAAGGAATTGCGGCCGGACGTATCATAATTGTGGAGCTACAAATCCGTCGGTGGTGGAAGAATTTTCCGGAAGTAATTTCCTGTAACGTTGAGCTAATTTGAACTAATTATTTATAGAGCAAGCCAATAGTTCGAGAACAAATGCAAGGGAGAAATTAACCAAGCTCACAAAACAGCAGTTTCAAGAATTATCTACAGATGTGTATGATGAGTTGACCAGACGACTACTGGATTCTAATGAAGGTACTGAAAAAAATCAACTTGGTTTTCCCGATTGTATGGTAGAATTATTATCAGATGAACCTCTTTGGATGAATCAGAAATTGAATTAAATCGACAATCGCAGTTGTTGGGTTTATGGAAAAGATCCTGATGACACAAATTTCTGTAAACGATTCCATCCAAGTTTACAAATAATCGTGAAAATTTTCGCTGCGAGAAAAAACAAACCAAATGAACTACATCAAGTACTCAACTCGCCATTTGATGTTTTTCCAGTTATGAGCTTAAAAAAGTTCAATCAAGGGAATAAATGAAGAAATTATTTACAGTTCCACACTCTCAATTTCAGTACCTTTTCTTCCATTGCGTGACGATTTTCACCCTAAAAGAAATCAAGCACGACAGAAGTTAGCTACTTTACCAAAAAATCGATTCAAAGACTTGGCTAGTGACGTCTATTATGAACTGGAGAGACGTTATCCAGAGCTAAAAGATATGGATGTAAGTTACGAATGTTCGATCGCCACTTATTAATATAACAATCATCTTAACATCCTCACATGTAATATATTTGGGCCAACGTACATAAGTTCTCGACATCAGCCAATGACAATTCATTGCAAAAAAAATCAATCGATGTTTCTACACCGGGTCAAGCACCAAAGTCAAACACCATCGTCCCAGAAATGAGTACCCTAAAACAGGAAACCATTTCCGTAGACTATCATATTCAGAAACCAAGCACTCGGCCAGAGAACACGGCCACCAATGGCGATAATTCGGCAAGCAACAATAATTCGAACGGCGTCCCGTCGTCATCGGAGTATGGATCCCCAATTTCTCCCAGAAGTCGTACTCAATCTTCTACATCTTCGATATCAGATTTTGGACGTCGTTATAATGGAATGAGCATGAGCAGTGTCAGCAGTTCGGATAGCAGAAATAGAGACACGGTTAATAGCCAGAAAGTTGGTAAACCTGATATCGTTAATTTCGCTTCTCTGGACAGTTTGATGGCCGATCTTGGAGATATGATCGATAAAAAACAAGCAGGAGGTGTATGTATTTTTTATTTTTTATTTTTTAATAATCATCTCAAGTTCAGAAATGAAATCTAATATCATTGCCTTTGTAGGGCTACTCTGACATGGACAAGATGATGTCAGATTATGAGCTAAAAGTTGCGACCCTTCAAAAACGGATAAAAGAGTTGGAGTCCGAATTATCGGTAATAATAAATCTCGGATATTAATATTTGCTAGTGGGTAATACAACTTATCTTCTCACTTGATAATTTCACTTTCACGAAATCTCAGTCGAGGAATAGTTCCGCTGTGAATAGCTCCAGAATACAAGATCTAGAAAGTCGATTGGGAGAACAAACGTCTAGGGTGGCAGAGCTGGAGCAAAAATTAGAAGAGAGTAACCAACAACAAAAAGAGGTTAGTTCTCACGTCATTTGTGTTGTTTTAAATATTTGAAGCGCATTGTTATTGACTCTTGTCGTTTTTGGCAGGTGGAAACTATATTGGAAAGCTTTCAGTCACTTTCGGCGAAATATGACGAGTTGTGCTTAGAAAAGGAACAGGACGCAACCAAAATTAAAGATTTAACGGCGGAAGTGAGCGAGTGGAAGAGCAAATACGAAAAGACCAAGACTGAATTAAGAAATTTGAAAGGTTCGCGTAGTAAAACAAGGCTTTTTTTTTTTTTTTAATGCCGATTCGGATTTACTTTTTGTATACTGGAATTAAGCTAATACATTGAGGGCACTTTG